TCTGGCATTTAGAGAAACTTTTTCCGTCTATCAAAAAATTCACTAAAAATTTGAGCTCGGTGTGACAAGTTTAGACAAAAACAAGACTGCTCGAATCATGGCAAAGCCCTGAAGGTTCCGACTGACTTTAAAGTTTATGGAGCAGTAAAAACATAGAAAAATTGAATATAATAGAATAAAATGATTTTTTTTTCTTAAATTTAGACTTTTTCAATAAAAATCACCCCCACACGCCATATAAAGTACAAGAGGATAGATTTTGCTCCATGTAACAAATCAATTATGGCAAATAATTGCCAAAATGACAATCTTTAAACCCCCATAACGTTACAAAAAATGATCCGAGGTAAAATATCTTATTAAACTTAAGCTCAGGGCAACAATATTATTCGAATGATAAACTATTCATTTTTATCAATAATTAAATTGGTTCTATATGTTCAAATAAAAACATTTTCCGATCTGCGATTATTTTTTTGTGAATTTATGGGATTTGAAAATTCGACCATGTTCTGGACTAATTTATAGGCACTAATTTAAAACTATCTATGATGATGAAAACCTGAGCAAAAACCCTGTCACTCAAAATTACTCCAAATGGAGCGGTCATACTAGCAAGCTGGGCGGTCATACTAGTACGACTCAAATTGATACAAGTTACTATGTTTTGGTTGAGAAGAAAATAAACAAAATCGAAACGTGTAGTTTATTAATTAAGTTTAAGCAAAACTAGTCAAACCAATTAAAAGCTGTGGAAACAATCAATTTTTTGCTTGGATACGACCAACTTTTCAATATAAAAATAAACGTTTGACGAAAGTTGTTAAAAATCGAAGTCAATTTTCGTATGAGCACAAAACTTTCTTGAAATGTTTTTTTTTGTTGTATCTGAGATCACGTATTTGTTTTTAACCACATAACAACCATAACAAGACTTCTCGTGTTAGTACCAAGTCCTGAATAAACCGCTGGTCTTCAATGTCTTTGAAATAGTTTTGAAATTGCAAAGTGATATTTTTGTTCCAATTTTTGACGAAAACGGAATAATTATGCTGGGCAGTTTTTTATTCAGTAAGTTTTCGACTTTTTAACTAAGCAATTTTGACAAAAAATTTTTTAAAAAACAACCGAAAAATATCGTTATCCGCAGCTCAAAACTAAAAAAATAATATGTTAAATTTTTTTGTAATGTTGGAAATTGCTAACTCGGAACTCGGTCAGGTTGGAAAAATTTACGTCTACTCTTTGTGTTCTTTCAAAATGGCGGGTTGAAATGTGTTCTAAATTAAATTGAGGCAAACAATTTGGTCTTAACATTAGGATAGATGCTAAATAAACCCATTCGTAAGCGCCATTAGTGCATGAGAGAAAAAATTGAAAAAAGGAAACTAATTGTCAAGATTATTTGGTCAAAATTTCAGTCAAAAATATAGAATTGGCCTTTAAGTGCAGTCGGAACAGTAAGGAACTTTCGATCTTTCATAAGGTTTTTAAAGTTGATTACAAGTAAACTATCTCTTTGTTCCGACTTTCGAAGAAAACGGAATATTTATGCTCGGTGTGTTTTTCTTATTCGGTCAATTTACGCCGATCGAAATAATAGCTTACAACAAAAACTTTATACCCCATTGAAAAAATCGATTCTTTGAGTTCATATTTCAAGAGTTATTTTACTTCCAATTCTTTTTTGTAAAGCTCTGAGGGTTTGAAAATTGCCAAATTGGCCATGTTCTGGACAAATTATGAAAAAATTTGTTTCTATTGCTGAGAGCGTAAGGCGAATTATTTATGCGTGGCGAATTATTCCGCTCAACAAAATTGTTTCAAATTGAATTGAGGCTAGCTAATTGGTCGTATTAAATTCATACGACTCAAAATTTTGCACTTTGATTTTGTCCAAAAGAATATGTATAGGTTTTCAATACTTTATTTTCCCAAAACTATACGATATGAAATAAGGGACAGTCGGAACATTCAGGGCTTTGCCCTGATGTACGAACAGTCTTGTTATATTTGATCTCAGGACCACAATTTTTTTTCACATGGCAAGAAAAAGGGTTAAAAAAAGGGCTATTTAAAAAGTCGGAACTGGTCTGGCAAAAAAGCACCCGATGGCAAATATTATGTAACTTTCTTTGAAAATCGGAACAACAAGATTTGGATTAATTTCATTTGAATCACGAAACAGGGACAAAAATTGTGCCAAAAAGCGAATTTTATGTTGGAATTTTACTAAAAAACACCCGAAGTTTCGGCTTAGTTGAGTCTTTTTTTACTTTTTCAGGGGAAACGCAGTCTATTTTTACTTATGTCACTCAATTTAAGTCACTCTATTAAAAATTCGGCATTTTAATTTTTTCTAGATTCAGCCCTGTTACAATATATCCGCAGAAGACTACAAATCAAACTAGCTTAACAGCGTTTTAAACTCTATAAAATCATTTTAAATTTCAGTCATTTTGGTCAAAATGAAACATTTTAGGTCGAGGTCTAAAAATGGTAATGAGTGCCAATTTATCTTTCTGACGTAATGATAACAGAAACTAGCTGGGCAAGGGGTATGATAACCTAGTTGGACAGAATCAGTCATCCACTTACTAGCTAAGAACCACTTTCTCTCGACCCCGTATTCTAATTTCCATATTTGACAAGCCATCCCTAAAAATTCTAATTAGAGCCTCTTTTGTTCAGAAAAAGGGCTCTTTTTGCTATCTTTTTTTGAAATGATTGTAAATTAATTTGAAAAGCCCGTTGATGAATTACAGAAACAACTGTGCCTGAGTGAACAATTTTTAAAATTAATTATATTTCTTTTTCTTGTACCAAAATTGGAGGCTAAACAAAATTAAATTCTTTCGTTGTGAGGGTTTTGAAGGGACTGTCATTAGAGCTTAGGCTTATTCCTCAATAAGGAATTTGTTCAATTTGACTATCTGAAGTTATAACATGCATCGTCTAAGTGGATGGCGGTATGATTAAAAGATAACAAAACATGCTTTCGTCTTTAATCTGGGTATAATTCACCCATCAGGGCATCTTTTATTCCCCATTTTGGCTTCTTCATTTTAGCAAGGTTAGCTTTTGAGATCAGATTAGTATTTAAATCTAAGGACTGAAGCATCACTGAAGGAAAGGGCTTTTGGTGGTGCGCTTATGTTTTTTCACCGCTTAATTAGGAAAAATCATTATTCCGCGGTTTTCAAAATTGGAGGTTCGTTTTGTAGATTAGAACTCAGAAACACAAAAAATTTAAGACCACAAGCCCTATATGGGTTGCTTATAGATTAAACTTCAACTTTGGTTCAACTTTTTGAGCGTCGGTTAATTTTTCATCAAATTGAAAAAAAACTGGGACTGCTATTCTCTTTGCTTTGTCTCGGAGTAATGAGCCTTAAGCAAATGGGAAACTTTGAGTGAAATAAATATTGCGCAACACATTTCATATTTAAACACAATATATATTCCGTACAGTCTTCGAAAGTCTGAACAAAAATCAGAAATTGAACAAATAGATTTTTTTGGTTTCTGATGTGCGGAGCGCAACATTTACTTCAACTAAACTTTTGTAATTTTTACTACAAAAAATCAACTTTGCAACCGTTTTTTTACATATCTGCGATAAATGATTTTTGTTCCGAACATTTGAAAAAAGTGGAGGAACTTTGTGTTTTTTAGTTTTTAATCTTTTTCTTTTTTTTCACGCAAAATCAAGTACCACAAATAATTATCGGAGTGGGTCGAGTGATATATCATATTAAAACCCTTTCAGTAGTGATTCGAATTATCTTAAAAATTTTTAAAAAATTACTTGATGTCTAGAAAAACCGGTTTGAAGTTTTTGATTTTGGTCTAATTTCGAGCGAATAGAATGTGCTTGCAGGCTTACAATAGCCTATTTAAGCTTAAATTAAGCCGAGAAAATTTATTTTACTGGAACAAAGTTAGTTTCTGGAATTTTTAGCGCTATTTAAGATTCAAACCTTACAAAAGTTCATAAAGTTTCTGCAACAAAATTTAAAAAAAATTTTGAAAAATTTTTGAATTGTTTTTACGATTTTTTTTTCATTTTTCTAGCTATTTTTCTACAAAAACTGTTTTCCAATTGGCCTATTTGAGTATTAATGTAGCATTTGCCTATTTTTTTTGCTCAGTTTTTTTAAATCACACCACCCAGAAAAAACGACCCTAATTTTAAAAAAATTGTTTTGGTCGGAACATTCTGTGCTACTTACACAGTAACCGGTTATCCTTGTTTTAGTATTGTACTTGTTTTTGATTTTATGTCTAAAAAGTAGCAAATTTTTAAACATAATTAGTTTCCTTCGTATCACGATGTCTATTCCATTAAGTGTTTTTCTTATGATGAAATGAACATATTAGGATTCAGGGTAATTTACCGTTGGAAATAAAATTCGGTAAATTACCTCCAAAAAATATATACATAATCATTATTAGGTTTATCAAAGCCGCGTTTAGAATACGATATATTTCTCAAGAGTTCTCTGATTTTTTGGAAGAATTACACGAATTTGTACAAGGCTCATCGGTTAAAGAAATCGCAGAATTGGTTAATACTAAAAAGTTTTGTTTGACCTTTCGATATTTTCGGTGGCCAACATTATTTACAGAAAAACCGTATTTGAAAATTTGGATATACAATTTGAGATCATTTTTACTCCTCTTTTTTGCTATATTTTCAACTCCTCCTTCTAAGTTGAATCCCTCCTACTGAAATTGTAAATTTATATTCGACTTCGCTTCATTGACAGTTTTAGATTTTATTTTAATTCAAAAATCAATAATTTATTAATGTTTTTTTTTCCTCAGCCTGAGTATAAAGTGATATAATCCATGCATAAATTAAAGCACTCTTTTATAAATCTGAGCAAAAGCTGAAGGGCAAGAGCTTGCTCAACTGCTTTTTCTAAAAATAGGTCCGATTATATCCAAGGTGAAAGTTGTCAAATCTATCTATTTATCCTTTTTCTCTTTTTTTTCAGAATATCTTTCGGTCAAACGAGGTATCAGACACCTCCAGAAAAGCACTTTCCTGGCTTTCAACTGGGGTCCGATTTGAGTCCCCAACACATGCAAATTTGAACCCCAAGGGACCTCCTATTACAACCAGCGACAATAATTCCCTAATTGGATTGGGGCAAGCACTGACAGACTCGGAAATACGTACTAGGCTGTTAAATCGAGATTCAATCAGTCCCAGCGAGGAGCTGAAAAAAGCAGAAAAAGTAGACTACAGAAGAAATATTGCCACAGACTCTAATTACCATCTTTACAAATCCAGACTGCCAAAAAACCCTCAAAAACAGCCGTTCAATTTTACACCCCTTCACGTAAAAGAATACGGAGAAAATTATTTGCCAAATTTTCCAGAAAATTCCAATATCAAATTTTCTTCTCAGGAATGGAGAAATAACAAAGAAGGGTTAAAATTGAATTGTGATTCGCCAGGAAAATTGAGAAAAATTTCAGCTAATTCAGCAATAACAAATCAAACCTCGCTGAATTTACATCAAAGGGCCGTAAAATCTGGTATTATTTCATCGAAGACAGCGAATTGTAGCCGTTCTAGCGTCAATAACAACTGCGATTTCAGTTCTAATTCAAAAATATCACAGTCTGAATTTCCTCCTTCTTTCAAACTATCAGCGGACGCGACATATTTATCAAGAACTGGTAAGTAACATTCAAACTAATTTCAAAAAACTAGATGAAAACAACCAACCACCCCTAATAAAAAATCAATTCCTCCTAAACCTATTCAGTATTGAACTAACAGATAAAGTTAAAATAATTGACTCGAAAAAGTTCCATCTCGACATTAGAAAAACAAATCTAGCCTCATCTAAGTCAATTGACAGCTTACAAAATTGAACTGAGATAGAAAAAAAAAGAAGATAAGTTTTCTGATTGATGATGGTTTTTGTTCCGTCTTTCGAAGAAAACGGAATATTTATGCTCGGTGTGGTTTTCAGTCAATTTTCATAGTTCGAAATAAAAGTGTTCGACAAAAAATATATATTTCATTGAACAAATCGACATCCTGAATTCAAATGTAAAAAGATATTTTACCTCCGATTACTTTTTGTAAAGTTCTGGGGGTTTGAAAATTGCGAAAATGGCCAAATTCTGACCTAAACAAGACTGGTCGTATATCAGGGCAAAGTCCTGAATGTTCCGACTGTCCCTTAATTCATATCGAATAGTTTTTGCTCGAGAAAATATTGAAAAACTTATAAATGTTAGTTTTGGACAAAATCAAAGCGTAAAGTTTACTGTCGTACGAATTTAATTGGATCAAATAGCTAATTTCAATTCAATTTGGAACGATTTTGTTGTGCGGAATAATTCACCAGGTATAAATATTTCGCCTTACGCTCTCAGTAATCTGAATAATTTCTTCAAAGCGCGCATAATTTAGTCCAGAACATGACAAATTTGGCAGTTTTCAAACCCCCAGAACTTAACAAATAATAATCGGAAGTAAAATATATTTTTAAATTTGAACTCAGAAAGTCGATATATTCATTGGGATATAAAAATTTTTTATGAAAACTTATATTTCGATCGGCAAAAGTTGACTGAATAAAAAAACCAAACTGAGCATTGAACCATTCCAAATTGAATTGAGGCTAGCTAAATGGTCGAAGTGTTTTCTTATGGCTGAAAATTTTTAACTTTGATGTTGTCCAAAATTTACAGGTTTTCAATTTTTTCTTGACGCAAAAACTTTTCGATATGAATTAAGGGGCAGTCGGAACATTCAAGGCTCTGCCCTGATATACGAGCAGTTTTGTTGATAACCAAAATTTGATTTATGAAATGAAACAAATGTTCGAAGAGTCCATTAGAGAATGCATTATTGAAATAGTTGTAGCTGAGGAAAAAATCTTTTTTTAATCTAAAGTATCTTACGCATTTCACATAGTTGAGGAAGCTGTAAGGTGGAACCCATTGATTTTCTGAGCTCTCCCAAATCATCTTAAAGACCCTATTTTTCTGCGCCGCAGGCAAAATTTTTAAAAATCAGTCCAAAAACAGCTTGTTTAGGGTTTTTTTGGAAAATTTTGACTAAAAAATCGCCCTCAAAATAAGTATACATTGGCGCCAAAAGCCCTTTTAGAAAAATGTTAGGGTTCGTCAGCCAAAAATGGTTATCTCAAAATAGTACAAAGCAGGGATCCTTTGGGTCGGCAGGGGCTCGAATCCTTGAGGGGGATTCATCACCCCCTAAATCCGCTGGTGTTGTAAATTGCTATCTTCAGTAAGACCGACCAGCTAGCTGATAGTCATAATTTTTAACACAACTTCATGCGCAAATGTTACCGTATGTTGAGTAAATATGACCCTGTGTCATTAAAAATGCAACATACGCGGCGGGGTCTTCGCACGGTCGTTATACAAGTAATTTTTATGCTTTGAAGTTTTCATACTTGACTTCCCTCAGTTCGTTTGAAGCTAAGTTCTTATGATTAAGTTTGAGCAAAAAAATCTTTCAAAATCGAGCATGTTTACTTGGTCTTGTCTCTTTGCCACATCACGAATCACAATCCAGCTATACAGTGTTTTTGAACTACCCGGAAAAATAGAGGTTAAAACAGGAAGTTTTGACTCCATAAGGATGCATTTTTCTTCTGACCATTGGGGCGAGGGGGGATTCGTTACTAGGTACAAAAGTTACATATGCTTAACCATTGAATAGTTTTTTGTACTCGGTTGTGTTTTTACGCAAAATCAGGTACCGCAAACGTCGGAATAGGTTCGAGTGATTTATATCATATCAAAGCCCTTTCAGTCGCGATTTAAACGACCATAAAAATATCGAAAAAGTGTCCTAGTGTGGAGAAAAACTGCCTTAGCAAAAAAAATGGTTTGACTTTTTTGAAAATTTTTGTTTGCCATTCTATTTTTGCCTATTTTTTTTTGGTAATTTTTTTCTAAAATTGATTTCCTAGCTTAGGTTTTTTTTATGTCTACAAGATTTTATGAATTTGATTAGCTGGCATTGAAGAGTTGAACTGTTAGAGAAAAATCGATATCCAAGAAAAAAACGTTCCTAATCGACTGTTTCTAAATGCCGAGATTTTTTCGTTTTTGATAAACTAAATCATGCAAACACCGGGTCTTGTGTTATCCCTTTATTTGTTGCTTTCGGTCTTATCTGTCCTGATCGCCTTCTCAGAACACAACATGGTATTCTAATTTGTTTAGCGTGAAAATGTCATAAGCTGCAAGTAAACTTAAAAACCTCAATCCAGGGTAATGACCTGTATAAAGTGAAATAGGGTTCGGTTTTTACCAACTGCAAAAAGGACGGCATTCATATCTGAACGAACATTGTTAAGGTGAGAGAAGTAAGAAAAATAAATTTGAATGACAACCTGTAGTTTGGTTACATCTTCTGATAATTTCAATTATAGATATTTTATTCTAGTTTTTTTTCGTTAAACACAATTTAATTTAAAGCCATATTTTCCAGAAAAACAAATTTTACCAAAAAAACGATTCAAAATGATTTTTAAAAAATGATTCAAGTTTTTTAGTAAATAAATCAGATACCATAGTGAAACTCTGACATATGATCGATAAAATGAACTGAAAAGATCTGGTTGAATGAAAATTAAGAAATTTAATTTCAGAGCTGTTAAAAAATCAGTCAATCGTCATTAGCTTAGGACGTGTAGAGGTGTTGTCGTGGATTTTTTGTAGGAAACACATATAGATTTTGAAGGTAACTAAATTTGATCTATGAAGCTCAACTTGAACCCTATACTGCTTAAAGAGAACAGATAACGGATTTGACATAACTGTTGATAGTTTTTTATGCTTCAGCAGGGCCATCAATTTTTTATTCGTCTGGCCTTAGCGACTACGACATAGAAACTTCATAATCGTCAAAATTAACCGTCTTCAATTTTGGCACCAGATTTAGTTAACTGTTGTCAACTTCACAGGCGTGCCGTAAAAAATGACGGATGATTTACTCAAAAAACGGGTTTTGTAAACGTTATTAAATTAAAGTTTTTCTCTGAAAATCATACTTATGAGTGACACTATCTCGCTTTAGGCCATGTTGAGGTTGACTTCAATCGAAAATCCGCTTCTTTACACACAGTTGGTTTTCTAAATTCAGTAGTGAATTGAGTTATGTAATGTTATTCTGTTTGGCTACTCTGAGCAAGTATACCAGAATTCACAGCTTTTTTGTGCACATTTTGATTTTCTAAAAACTTTTCAATTGTCGGTGCAGTTACGCTCATTACCAAATTATGAGTTAAAAATCTTCAGAATGATGAACTTATTTCTTATTTTATGTATCAATAAGAAAATATTGGCCTTAATTGTTTCAAAAAACTGGTTGACTCTTAGCTACCAACTGATAAAAATGTAGAAAAATATACATTTTTTAAAATATTTTTTGAGAGTTCGGCGTGTATTAATACTTATTTGATTTTTAAAAAAACACTGAAATGGTGTTTGGGCTCAAAAGCCGGGGAGTCAGAACTATAATCAGTGAAACACGTTAATGAGTTATTTTAGGCCGAGAGAAAACAAAGGCACAGACTTGAATTGTAACTTGATTGCTTGCATCAAATCAAAACCCGAAACAATTTAACTGTGGTTGCTTTAATTTGATTGTTCTTAACAAATTGAAAACATTTCTAATAATTAGAAATTGTTCGAACTTTTTTTACAATTTTAGTTTGAAACATTTTTCCGTTTGAAAATTGATAAAATTCACATCTGGTGTTGTGTCAAGAAATATAAGCATATTGCCGCATTTTGGTTACTTTTCTGCGGCAAAATGACTTGCCTCTTACGCGTTGATAGGGCAAAATATGCCGTGCGTTAGTCGTCATAAGCTGGACTAAATGAAAAATCCGAAAACCTATATTTTTACGAAAGAAGATCATACGTGAAGCATCTTTTTATGCTTCAATTCAAAACAATAGTGTTCAAATCATTCAAAAAAAATTTCGAAAGAGCTAGTTAAAAAACGGAAATTTGTTGCTTAAAGACCGAACAAAGCCACATCGAACACAAACTCTGCGTCTTTTTTTACTGAACACAATAGTACGTTAACGTTAAGTAAAAGACAATTTTTTAAGCATTTGAGTATATTTAAGTTCGTCCTACTTTTACATTTTCCGCTAATTCTTTTGACTATTTTTTTTACCAGAGAGAAAGAATTAGTTATTTACCCAAATATGGTTTTATAAATTATTTCAGGAAATTATTATTTCCTTTTTTTTCAGCCGGCTGAATATTTTGAATGATTTTATCATTTAAGTTCAACAAAATTTGATTGCAATTATAGTTTTTTTCTAATTTAACCTTGGTTATTTTTCCACTTTTGTCTTTCCTTATCATAAAACCAGTTTATGAAACTTACGACACAATTTGTGGCATTTTCATAATATGATAAATGTTTCAGTAAGTATTTAACAATAATTAAGCAAAAATTTCCACAATTTTTTCAAACTGTAGCTAACTACAACATGACTGCTCCGTGTCAGAACAAAACAGTCCCATACAAAACAGTCCAATACAAAACAGTCCCAAGTAATAATTGTTTTAACAAGCCGGTAGGCCGATAATTGTCCTTTGTTCAACAAACATAAAGAACAAAATAGTGGCCGCCGCAGTCGCGCCAACGTGTTGCGAGCTTGCCAACACAGGATAGGACTTAATACGAAATTTAGAGCCGGTTATCGCCGCGAAGCGGCAACGAGTGCGCAGCTCGCCCATCGGCGACCTTAAACCTGACTGTTTTGAATTGGACTGCTTTGTATATGCACCGACTGCTCGTATCAGTGGAAAATCCTGAAACTTCTGACTGCCTTTCCAGTTCCATAGAATAATGCTTGCTTTTTAAAACTTGGTAAAATTGTTTTTCAAAAATCATCCCCACGTGCTATCCAAAGTATAAAGTGATATATTTCGCATAGTATTCAATCGACCAATTAGCTTCCCTCAACTCAATTTGGAACGATTTACAGGACGAATTAAATCTCCACCCATTAATAGCACAAAAAGTATCGCTCGTTTAATATCTAAAATCGGTCAAAGTGGCAACATCGAAACCCACATAATTTTACAAAACGTGATAACATGTTAAATATCTGTTAAATTTTGAGCCCAGGACAGCAATACTTTTCGGGTGATTTTTTTTTCAAAATGGGTAGTGAATAGGTTCCAAATTGTCTGGAGAAAAAACTACCCAAGCACAAATACTACTTTTCTCCGGCTCTACTTTTTGTAAAAACCTTCCAAAAATTGCTCAAAACCTCATTTTTGGCTTCTCAATTCGTCTTCCGTGCAGAAATAAATGCGGCAAATTAGGGTTTTTTTGGTGCTTGAGTTTGTCAGAAAAACAATTTGGTCAACATGAAAAAGGTTAGACGCAATTACCCATTAGAAAAAGTAAAATGTGATCGTCAAACTGTAGGTTAACGCATAATGAGAACCGCTGCGCTCAAACGATGACAGGCCTCGAAACATCAATCTTTGTGACCAAAGGCTCTTTAGGCATTGCTTTCTATGCACGATGCTCAAAAAGTCAGATGAACTGTCATGATTCACAAACAAACCGATCAATCATAAAGTTATAAAATTGAAGGGCGGTGCGTTTTCTTGCGTCGACTAGCTTTTAAATTTTTCTCCAAAATTCTAATTGATTTGTCAGAAGCTTAATCACTCTCCTCTGTAGGTAGCAGTCGGTCTCTATCTGCTCCTCTAAGTCCATCTTATCTCAAATTGCCAAAAGGCAGACAGCCTGTCACAAATGCAAAGCAATTTCTGTTAATCGAAAAAGGTGCCTTGTAACTAAAAACAGTCATGGTCTCTAAACCAGGATTATTGTATTACATTAACCAACCCATCCGTATGTCTTTTTAAGACTCGAGGTTCTGCAGTTCAAAAAGCCCTTTCGATAAATGGGTCGGAAGTAACTTTCCACAAGTTAAAGTATTTTTGGGTAAAATCAACAACGCCCTATTTAACTTTAACCCAATTGTGTGAACGCTTTAGCTTCATCTCAAATCAAGGAAGCAAAAGAATCTAATATTGGATCAGCAGTCGCCTCGATTATAGAAAAAGGAAACGGGGGAAAAGTAGCAAGAGATCAAATTTCCAATTCGGTCCTTTCATCCCGGCCCTTAAGGACATTTTCAACCTCCGCAACAAACAGCCAATCAGAGCGCAGTTTAAAACCAGCTCCTCGACTTAGTTCACGCATCAAGCACAAATCCAATCTGCCACCTGATACCACTGAACCTATTTCGACATACAGTAATTCCTCTGAAGCCACATTGAAGGGTGATATCTTAGCCGAAATCGCATTAAATCGAACAAAGCGGTCATCATTTCAGGCGATTTCAGATTACAAATCAGACGGCAACTTTGCCCCAAGCGCCTTTATCGACCCAAAAAGCAGTGAAACAAATTTAAGTGAACTTTTCCATCTTACTTCAGATTTTAATCCGATTCGTTTATCAGAAGAAGGAAGTAAATTTCAGAACCATACATTCAGAAGTAGTAGAGTAGAATTGCCATTACAACCTCGCCGCGACAGGTAAGCTCTTTACTCCATTTATGAACATAGAAGGAAGTTAACATTCTTTTTGTTAATTTTGTTTCCAATTTTGACTAATTTAAAATAAGGAACTCAACAACAAGCATAACACTATTACCAACTTCAATCGGATGCGCCGGAAAAAAATATTGCTAAAAATGGTAAAACTCAACATATTTGAACGTGACTTTGTAGTTATAGTGCTAAATCAATCATATAGTGCTAAAATCAACCAAATATGAGTTATTTATCATTGATTAAAAATGGCTGCATGAGGAATTATGGTCTGTTTTTTAACGCGTCTAGAATTTTTCAACTTTTAATTTCAAAAACGCAAAAATGGTGTTACGAACGCTCAAGTACAAATTTAATGACGAACCCGGTTGTTAAAAAAAACTTGGACAAAATTCACATTTTGTGACGCATTTTGAGCATTAGATTGCGCACTATCACAGCGTTTCTCTTTACACATTTTTATATAAGGATACATAAAATGTTTCGATTGGCTGCCAACTCTAAAAATAAACAAAACCTTCCACTGCCAACAAATAGTCCCCATTTTAATTTTAGCTTCGTATCGAATAGCATCAAGGTTTCCAACTATACTTCTCTGAAGAGTCATTTCGCAAACTACATCAACCCAGACTGTATTTCATCCTGTATTGGAAACGAAATACTGAAAGTTCCAGCCGCTTTTCCAGACATGTTGCAGGCGGAAACCAACTTGTCAAATATGACTAACTCGACAATAGTAGACCCAGAAGCACTGGCGATAGCGCAAGCTCAAGCGGAGCTAAGGATGCAGATCTTGGCGTTCGAACAAATATTCTCCACAGTTGTCGGAATTTTGGGCCTCATTGGCGCTTTACTAGTTATACTAGTGTATAACTTCCGCCACAAAGCAACACCGAGTGAAAAAATCATAACAGCGCTTTCTTCAATCGATTTTTGCTATAACCTCAATGCGATTATTATTTTAACTATGGGCAAATATGTCATAACCGATCGCGAAGGTACCGCTTACTTCGTGCTTCGGTGCATGAACTACTTTCTTTTCGGCTTTGTTGTTATCACTTCGTTTCTTCTGATCCAACTCATAACCGTGAACAGATTTTACGCCATTTGTCGCCCAACTGATTACAAAACGACCTTCAACAAGGAGCGCGTCCGGTTGATTCTCATTGCGATATTCGGGGGTTCGTTTCTGCAGGGACTGACCAATGCCTCGTATGCGTTTTTCGAAGATGTGAAAATAGCCCAGAAAATAATAGACATAGAGTACATTGGCATGATGGACCTGAATGTGTCGGCGGCTGCTGCTTTGATGTGTTTGGTGTATGTGAAAGTGCTTCTCAAGTTCGCCAAGCAGAGAAAGAGGATGAGCATGCATGCGCACGGGGCCCGCACAGCCACGCAGGAAAGAGTGAGAAAAGCAAAGTGAGTCTTCATTTGATTATAAGGAAAAAAAGTCTCTTTATTTTAAAGAAAAATTCAATTTAACTATAAAAAAAATCAACATCACAAAAAATTTTACCTCTAGAAACACAGCCCCTTAGCTTGATGTTTCGATAATGCCCTGGCTGTTCCGACTGCCATTTAGCTGGTTCAGAATAGTTTTTGGTAAATATGATGCTGATGAACTATAAATTTTAGACTGCCAAGTACTAGATGGTAAACTTTGAGTCGGATATGGAAATAAAAAGCCCAATTTAGTTCTCCTCAATTCCTTTTGGAACGATTATGAGTGCTGGGATAATTCACCACTCATAAATTTTTTGTGTATTAAAATGTAAATTAATCGTTAGTCTAGTGCAAGTAGTTAGTCTAGTGCAAGCACAGCACACCCGCCTGGGAATCCAAAGAATCCAGGATCAATCCAAGCAATCGAAATTATTGTTGCAAAATTAGTCTGATTAAATATTTTGGATTCTATAGTTCGTCTCAAAAAATCTATCATAATTGATTAAATATGGATTATAATGGTTCTATTTTGGTAAGCAATAAAACCCATTCGTTATCAATTACTTATTCTCCAGCTTATCATCTAAAGAGACTTAATTCATTTTAATCGATTAAAACTAAATAAAACACATTTTTTAAAATTCTTTTTTGGTGCTGATTTCATTTGTTTATAAATTTTTTAAAGATAATTTAATGTAATTTTTTTGAAAATTAGTGTTTTTTTTTTGAGTTTTTTTGAATTCAGTTTTTTTGCCAAGCTAACATTTAACCCCAATTTCCTCAGTTACCTGTTTCGTACTCCACATTTACCCTCTTCCCTATCACCGTTTTGTAGAAAGGGAATGATTTCGGGAGGGGGGGGGGTGGTAAACGAGGGGACGCGAGGGCATTTCAGGGCCTGAAACGCTCGAATATGTAGTGTCAGGTCTTCCCCATTAACTTGAACAAAAAGTGGATTTGGGGCACGAGAGAGGTGGCGGAAGGACGTGGTTTGGTATGGAGGGCGTGGTGAAACAATAAAAGTGGGACTTTGTGGAGGGGTGTGGGGGGGTTGGGTAAGAAAATCTGTGTAGGGGTGTGGGGAGTCGGGCTAATGGGCAAGAAAATTTTTGTCCGAAAATAGATTATAATTGATTAGATAGAATATAATTTCTTTTTTTTTTTCAAAATTAGGTGATTCTATTGGACATAAAGACCATTGTGTGGTTTAATTTTGTCAGAATATTCAGTTATAGAGACAGTATTTTGGTCAACAAATTCTATTATAATAGATTTTTACCCATGATTTTTTCGTACGTTCACGACCTTGATTTTCGTGCGTTCACTCCTTTCGAAAGTCAGTGCAGCTTGACTGCTCATACCACGGCAAACCCGTAAACATCCTGACTGCCCCTTAAGATCCACGATATAGGTAATCTTTTTAAGTATCAGTAATGAAAATCAACTTTTAGATTTAAAAACTCTTGAAAATCAATTTAAGTTTCATGTTTTTCAGACTATATATTTGATAAAACTCCGCCCACATGCTATGGTAAGAATCAGGTGATGTAATTTGCGTCTAACAACCTATTGATGGTTCCAAATAGCTTCCTTCAGATCAAATTGGAACGATTACTTCGCCGCTCACGCTTCAATAGAACAAAAGTTATACCGCGCGATAATTGTCCCAATATTTTTCAAACCGTCATAACTTAACAAAAAATAACAAAGTGAATTGTTTTTCAAATTGGATTTATGTGCGTCACGACTTAAACAACTCAATTTCAAAACAGACTAGTTAAAAAGTTGAAATTTGCCTGAAAAAAACCACCCTGACTGCAAATATTCCATCACTTTATTCAAATGTTGGAACAAAAAGCATCAATTGGAGCATTTAGCTTTTTAAACGTTTCGAAAAAAAGTAGCTCGCTACCATAAAAAAATTGTCGCACTACTAGTCGCAGTGTGATGAGCCAAAAATGGGCATAGTGAACTATGATAATAATTGGAGCATATTTTAATGGTGTGAGAGGGTCAAATTCCTAAGGCAAAACCTTCCACTCACGCCCTAAATCTGCTATTATTTTGTTCATGTTTTTTATACAGAATCAGGTTCACAAAGTCTTAAACGCATAATAAACATCAATTTAAAACATCGTTTTCTCTTGCGGTGGCATAAAATTTTGAAATTGAATTAAGTGGTACTGAGGCAGATACTTTTTGTTCTGACAGGAAAACAATGTTTTTTTTCTCGTTTTTTGACAAAAATATCTTTTAAATCTTTTGTCAAAAAGTTCATTAAAACTGTTTTCTTTAAATTATTGTTTAAGGTGAAAGGATGAAAAAAATTTAAAAAAAAGTTACGTCATACATTTTCATCCAACGCTGAGTAGGCTTTCCGGGTCCTTAAATTAGGACATTTTTAGGACATACTATAATAGTAAAATTAGAATACATCTTTTTTGATTGAAATTTTTCTCTAAAAACTCCCCACTGAGATTCGAGCAATTAGGGTTCCCTGTTTTAATAACGGAAACATGGAATGATAGTGTTCCTTTTATATTAAACTTTCCAATTAAGGTCGTCCGTGCCAATTAAGAAAGAATGATGCTTCCAGGATGAGATATAAATTATTAGAATCTGAACCTGAAGCCGATGGCTAAGGAACCCCGTCGTTTTTCATAGTTTTTTAGTTCAATTTGATGAATGGTCCATTCATTATTGACTTCAATTTATCAACTTACTATGATGAGCCCCAAGCTAAGAAAAGCCAGCATAAAAACAAACAAGACTGCTTGTATCAGGGCAAAGCCTTGAATGTTCCGACTACCCTATATTGGGTCTCGGATAATTTTTGGTAAATGAAATACTGGCAAATATATGAAGTTTATTCAGATAACATCAGTGAATGAGTGTTGCAATATGAGTTGTGTATGGAGTTAATAAAACCAATTAGGTGTCTCAATTCAATTTGGAACGATTTTGTAGTGCGGGATAAAAAAAACAATCAGTTTTAGACATACGCTTGGCAGTCTACTATAGTGGTGTGCACACTTGGCTGCCACCATACAAACCAAGAGATGGATCCACCGACCAGAGACTTGCAAAAGTGGTCTGAATACAAAAACCATCTCGAGTATATACATTCCTCACTTTCTTCGAAAGTCGGAACAACATGTATTACTATTCCGTTTTCTCCGAAAGTCTAAATAACATGACTGTTCGTTTATCAGGGCGAGGCCCTGAATTTTTTGACTAAACGTTAAGGCCAATCAAAAGTTTTTTTGGCTCAGGATGTTTTCTTCCATTTTTTCATTTTTTTTCTTCGCTACTTTGAACTACAAAGGGATTTTTTTGGCATCTAGCCTAATAAACTTCATTACGAATCCAAACTGTATTTTGTGAATTGTTTGCAGATTCCGCAGCAAAGACGCTCTCTTTGATCTTCCTTTGTTCTTTCGTTTTCTTTGCTCGTTCCGACGAAAGATTTTTTATTATGTTTAGAAACTTTTCTCTTGATTCCAGAGACCTACACACCCTAAATTTTGCGCCTATCTAGCAAAGTTTTGCCTTGTAAAATTGTTCATTTTTTTCATTCTGCCCACATGCTATGTAAGACGTACGCTATACACGTATACAAAGGGTGTTTGGAGTCTCTTATTGTTTAAAAAGAAACTGATGGCATCAACTCAACTTGGACCGCACTTATTCGCCGCTTACGCATGATATAAAAATGCACTATATACAGCGTTAATTATCCTAAATTGACCAAAATAGCAGTTTACAAACCCCGTAACTTTTAAAATAATGTTCACAGGCAAAATGTTTTTTTTTTAAATTTGAACTCAAGACAACAATATCTCTCAGAGATGATATGAAAAAAAAAAAATCCGCCCGAAAATCTTAATTGAGAAGTCGAAAATTGACTGAATGAAAATCAACCACTCATAAAAACTCCGCACTTTCTTCGAAAATCGGAAAAACAAGACTGCTC